TGATAAACTGTTGCTGCTTTGTCCCTGTTGAGTGGCTCATGGGGCCTGTATCACAAAGCAAGTTCAACTTCGTCCAACCGGAGATCCTGAACAGCTGGAACCGACTATCATCAGCAAAATGTGAGGAAGGCTATATAATAAAAAAAAAACAAGTAATCAATTCAGAAGTGATGTTAAAAAGGAAATATACACAGATTAAAATACAGGCTACTGTGATAAATAATTAGGACTAATAATGGATTGGTATCAGTCTTAATTGAATATTTGAATTGTATGTGCTTTATTTTACTTTATCTGTCTCTCTATTGTTGCACTTGTTTTTACTCTATGTGCAAATACTGTAAACAAATTAGTGGACTTTTAATTTCCACTGTTCAAAACTGTAAAAGTTGTAAATGTTGCTATATCTGCATGGTCCTGATACAATGTTGCATTTTAATCCCCGAAAATGTTTCATATGATTAAAATGAATGCCATTGATTTTTTATTTCTACAGTATAGTATTTTTTTTAAAGGTTGTTTATAGGAAATGAACTCCCCTCCTCTTAAAAGGGTGTGGGAGAACCTGCAGTGGCCTGCAGGTAACATAATTGGACCTTTCTGGAGCCAATGTTTGGATTGTCTGTTCTGTTGAAACATGGTGATGCAACATGGCGAACTCTTTACAAGACGAATTTCTCACAGCTTAGATACACAGGGCTAATTTTTAAGGTAACGAAAACCCAATAATTCTAAGTTTCAGGTGATTAAGCACTAACACATATATATAATATTTTCCATTAGTTTCCCCTCAATCCAACACACTGCTCCATTAGATAAAAAACAGTGGAAGCATCTTTCAACCTGCCTGACCTACCATGGTGATCCCACCCAATTAAAATCCAGCCAGCTTTGTGATACTGAAAGATCTGAGTAAAGCCAAAAGATAGCTGGATCTCCAAGCACTGTAATCCTCCATCACCATGCAGGCCCCTGCTTTAGAGCTGCAAGGTTTTACAATCAATTCCTCTTGGATTTCAAACAGAGCAGTGCAGGAGCTGTGCAGCGTGCAACACTGGAGACATTTCTGCCGGGGGTTTGGTTTCTTTTGCTGAACATTTCTTGGCTTGTGGTTTCCTGCCTGTTGTCCTACAGCTTTTCCAGTAGCTTTGCAATCATAGGTAAATCTGTATCCATGTAAAACTATAGGTTTTGACTTGTTGGTATATAGAACCATGGTTTATTGCCAGGAGTTATGAGTCGCAACTTACGGTCAGTTAATTCAACCTTTACTATACCAATGAGCAACGCTGATTTACAGCAGTAATTACTTTACGGTACAACCATTGCAATGTCTCCCCATTTAGAAGAACCACTCACCCACATTGACATGAAGCTACGCCTGGAAAATGTCTATCCTGTGTGGACGTTCGGGTTTCACTATAGATAGGGGATGCATATTTCTGTTTGACCTTCTTCTTCCTGTAGCACACCAGCCAAAATTCATGATCAGGTATCAAACTGCTCCCTAATTGACAATTTTGGTACATTTGGCCCAAATCTGGGCCTCAACCAGTTCAGCTTGGCCCTCACTGTATTTACTGTAGTAGACTGTCGCTGCGCTGTGCCAGGAGACCTGCTGCTACACCCAGCAGGGCAGAGGGGATGATTAAACCATCGTCTTCAAGGTGGCAAACACCATTAGGTTGTGTGCCAATCCTATTAGACAAGTTACCCCAGTCACACATCACACATTGGAAAGACAGTAAATAGTTTTACATGCCCTGTACCCGCAAATTAGAGAGAGTATTTTTTGTTTTGTTTCGAAGTAAAAATGAGTGTTTTGATTTTTAGAACAGCACTGAGCGTAGGTGGACAAAATATCCAACTCTCCCAGATGAGCTGTTCCTTTTCTGCAACATTGAGAATGAGATAAACTTTTTTGTATTTTAAATTGTTCCCATAGGTGATGTTTTTCAACAATGCACAGACATGTAGGTGGACACTCTGGCGATAAGACAGAAATCTTTCTCAACAGAAACCAACTGAAACATGTTCAAAATCAATGAAATCGAAGTGTCATCTCCTGCTCATGATGTAATGAATGTAAATAGAATATGTGATAACATTTCTGTCACACAGGCTTTCGCTTTCCTGACACAAGGATATCGACCTCTGACCTTTTCAGCCTGATGGTGACAGGTGGTTGAAATGTGGGCGTAATGAGAGCTGAGAGGGGCGTGATGTGAGTCAACAGCATCACAGTCAGTGTATGGATCAATGCAACATCATCACCTAAACTTCGTCCTTCACATCATCATGTATATTTATATCCTCACATTTATCAGTGAAAAAGACAATGCTGCACTTGTGAGGTTTAAGACAGTGGTTTACTTTGTGGGGAAGAAACTTACATACTTCTACGTTTTCATTTGAAAGCAGTGTTTTCAAACTGTAAAGATTTCTGTCCCCACAAGAAATTTTGGCTTCGTATTATTTTCAATCCTTGTCCATACTAACCTGCCTGAAAAGGTACATCTTGCAAGTATTAAACATGAACAAAGATAGTGAGATTTGAGGAGATCGACATTTGGCCAATGCTAAGATCATGATGATGATTTGCACATCGTATATCAGACTCCTGAATCAGATATGTCCTTCTCTCGTTCTGTCAATGATGATGTGCCCACTGACCCTATCGATGACTCACTACTGCCCCAACCTTCATATGGGTATTGCATCTTGCACACACATCGCATATGCATCGCATCAATTTCTGAGGACACAAATTACTCACCAAGCGTACGCAGGATACGCGAGGCAGCCATGATGCATCCGCACAGTTAAAAGCAAGTATATTTATGGCCTTAGTGAGAATTATTTCATGGTGATATTGTAACTTTTAGAATTTTTTTAAAACTAATATTTTACTTGATGAGTTTGCAGACACAGGTTGATGAAGATCAAGGGTGTAGAATCTGTACGTCTGCTTTTCAGTGCGATTCGTGCTGATTGTGGAACACCAAACCATTTCCACACACACTGCAGAACAGAGGACAGAGTGGGCAGATGAGGAAAAGAACAATACCGAAGGAAAAAAGTGCTGATCTCTCTCTCCCTCTCTTTTCCCCGTTCTGCCTCTCGCTTTCATTCCCCCTTTCTCTCATTCAGCAGGCTGACTGTTTCCGTACAGAAAACTGACTCCCACGCTGTTTCTGCCTGGCCTATTTATCACATTGATCAGCTTTATAAAGGAGTGGGATATACACAGGAGACTCGCATGAGAGAGATCCTGATGCCTCACAACTTCTGGGAAACACTCAAAGGTGAAGTCTTGCTGATGTGGTCATTTTTACATGGTGTGGTTTTGTGGCATCAAATCACCACAGATTTAACATTCAATTTAGCCTTATTCTCTCACAACGACATTGCATTTATCTGCAATGTGATGGCACTGAAAATCAACAGAAAAGACAACAGCAATCTTCATAAAATTCACAATCAAGCCTTTATCCTAAAAGTAGAATTAAACGGGAATAGAGCTGAAGTGATTAGTCTGTTGATCGACGACTTGATGACAGACAATATTATGATTGATAGGTTGGAAAAGGAGAAAAAAATCTATTTCCAGCTTCTATCATTTACGATTTGCTGACGTCCTCTAAACCAACCACAAAAACAGTTGTTGAGAAGAAAAAGAAAAAACAAAGTGGAGCTTAATCAAGAGTGAAAGGATAGTTTCACTTTACTGCAGGAGATTACCTATAAAATTGATAATTAGAAATCAAATAAATCCTGCTTTTGTTACACATTTGGTTCTTGGTGCTATAAGTCATTAACCAACTTTATAATGTAATGCTTGGTGCCTTTAAATTTTTTTGTCTTTTGATTACAACATCTGCAGAGGGGTTTTATCTTACAGGCACAAATCGAAACACCCCCCCATTGGTAAATGTTTCAGAGCTCCTGCCTTTCTCCAGCACTAAACCCAGGCAGTTGTCTGTGTAGGTAGCAAAACTCTAGCTCTACTGCTTCTGCATGCACTGGGAAGGTGCCGTTTAAACACCCAAACCCTTGTGCAAAGCATTAATATCTGCCCACAAGATCAGGAGACGAAAAACACACTAATCCAATCGACCTGGAATCATCCCTCAGAACTGCATGGAGGCGCTTATGTCCATTGCACCGCGCATCCATCGTGCCATGCACACCGCATTACATTGCATGGCTGTACAGGAAGTGAAATGGATGAATGAATGACATTTGCACGGAGCAGCGATCCCCTGCTGTCTGCATGCTTTCTTTCTTTACAGTGGTGCAGCCTCGAAATATAAACGGTAACATGGTGTATGCTGTTGCTCTCGGTGCGTTCAGCGACGTGAATTATGGGAGAAAGGTATCCCTACTGTCTCTGTGCTGCTGCTGCTGCTGCTGCTGCAGGAGTGGAGAGGATCTGCACAACACTCCTAATTATCTCTAACAAGAGCAAGCCTATACTCTACTGTTAACACTACATCATATCCACTTCAGTGGACTAACAGAAAACACACACACACGGTTCTAGTTGTATTTATCTAGGCACGTGGGACTTTACTGATATGCATGGACAGTAGCGCACCTTTTAACAGTTGTTTTCATGCATTTAAAGATATATTGGACTTATAGTTTGAAGTCTTGAAGATTTAGGGGGTGAATACGAAATGCTTCTGTAACATTTATTAACTATGTGTAACTATGTACATTATGTTATATTTTGTTTAGTTTGCTTATGATTTGCTTATCTATCTATCTATCTATACAAGGCAATGCATTTGAATGCAAAGGTGGACAGAATTTTGATGTGTTTGATTTATTTGATTAAATGAACCACATGGCTAAATGATTCAATGCACTGTGGTGATTCGTGCCGTGTTGCTTGATCTTTGTGTGCAGGGGGGTTCGCCCCCTTACGAGGCATGTTTTTGTGGATCTATGTCAGTGAAAGGACAGCCGATGACAGTACATGGTGAGAGTGCACCTACCACACAGCAGCTGCATCCAGGCGCAGGTCTTGTAAACGGTGGAGGTGTTGCAGAAGAAGAAGAGCGCCATGCAGGCGATGCAGCTGAGGATCAGCACCATGGACAGCAGCACGAACACCGAGGCCGCCTTGAAGGCTCCGGACGGGATGGAGCTGAAGTCGGAGAAGCTGCCCACGCAGGTGAGCTCCCGGCTGGGCGACGGCCCGGTGCCCACGCAGTAGTGGAAGAGGCCGAAGTAGCCGGCCTGCGGCGTGTTGACGCTGTCTCCGATCCAGTAGGGCTGGATGAACACCACCACGTTGACGATGGCGAAGCAGATGGTGAAGATGGCCCACAGCACCCCGATGGCGCGGGAGTTGCGCATGTAATTGTCATGGTAGATCTTGGAGGCTTCCTGGGAAGGCAACATGTTTGGTGTTTTTTCCCCCCTCTTTCCTCCTTACAGCTCTCTTTCCACCCCGTCCACCTCCCTCTTTAGACTATTTTAGAAATAAAATGGAAATAAATAAAAAACAGGAAACAAACTGCAGGACACCTCTCACTTTGTGTTTCCCCTCTTTGTCAAATCTCCTGCGCCAATATGCTCCTGGTTTGGCTGTTTCTTATGTGACTGTTAAATGGGCCTACATAACCATAGGATAAAAAAATATGTATATGATCTCACAGGACTAAACATTGTAAAAAATAAAAATGATTGGAGGGGTGGGGGGGTGCTACATTGAAGCAATGCAAAATCATGGTCTACCTATACTAGTAATGAATAATTTACCAAGACCAGTGATTCAACATTGCTGTCTAAGGCTCCTCAGGGCTACACCATGAATGATTAAAAATACAAATCCATCAAAATAGGATTTTCTTTATTTCACAGTCGTCGGTGGGCGGGGGGCTAAAGCCGTTTTTCATCCTCATCCATCGGCTTTTTTCTGCAGGATGTCCTTTATTACCATCCGTCTCATCAGACGCGTGTGTTGCCCGAAGCCAGCGGTGGAGCCCGTCTTTACCTTCCGAGGCATCCGTGGGGGTGCTCCCCTTCCTCTCTGCGCCCTTAGTGTCCACGCAGCATCCACAAACCCCACGCAATGAAACCTCAAAAGAAAAAAAAAAGAAAAAGAAAAACGAGGAAATGTGACAAACACGAGCTCCTCCGTCAAATGTCAACAGTCCTTTCTCGTAGATCCGACATCCTCCACCGCCTCGACTCCATTATCATCACGGTTCTTCTCGCAGCCTTTATCCAGTATGTCTCCTCTCCCTCTCTCTCCTCCCTCTCCGTCCTCCTCTGCGCGCCCCCCGGAAGATGCTGATGTTGTGGGCTGCTGCCGATGACAGCGATGGGGCGCATTCACGTGTACGCGGGCGCAGCAGTAGCAGCAGTAATGGGGAAGGGGGGTGGTGGGGGACGCCACGTTCGCCTTGAATCCCCAAATCAGAAACGCAAATCTTCAAATATTCCCTCACGTGTGGATGAACGATGATCTTCTCCGTGACAGGGTCCTGTCAAAACGACCAACATGAGTGCATGGAGACCCTAGCTTGGTTAAACCCAGGGAAGCCAGGAGTGTGAGTGCACTGTAATCAGAATACAACACATAGTCCTGTTTTTCCACGTGTAATAAACATAGGCTATTAAAATGTATTTCAATTCATATGTTTCTTTGTCACCAAAAGGTCAAGAACAAGAGTCTCTAGCCATGCTAGCATCATCATGCAAACACTCATAGGGAAAAGGCTAATATTGTGAGGCAGGTAAAATATTCAGCCTACAACGTTCATCAAACACAAAGCGCAGCGTTCTAAATTGACCGAATTGTGTGACAAATTGAAATTCTGACCTGATGATTGGTGGTGTCAAATTTATTTGACTTCATCCCAACTGGACATAAATGACTGTGCCAAATGTCACCACAATCCATTTATTAGCTGCTTCACTAAAAACCAAATTGTGGAGCATTAGGAAAATTATATTAATCAAAGTTTATTAAGGTTTATCCTCTGGGAATCATGAATGCCTATTGCTGTTGCCAAACCTGTGACAACTCCAACCTGCTGGTGCTGCCTCTTGAAAAGTTTCTGAATTGCCAAAGTCATTCTGGTTTATCCTTAGAGCACCTATAATTGCTAGGCAGCTGGATTTCTCACAAGCAAAAACCTTTTCCAGGATCAAAACTATTGCTTGTGGCTGAACCCCAGCCACAAGTACTCTCCAAAGAGGACTTTGTAGATGTCTCTTGTGTTGGATCAGGCCAGGACCTGAGTCCGGTGAGTTTCATTCTCAGCACTGTTTGGCTTTCGCAACATTTTTTTTGCTCGAATTCAATATTAGATTGGAGCTGTGGATGCAAACTTTCCACCACTCTACCATTTGCTTCCTTCATGCAGCCTGGAACAAGAAACAAGAAGATTGCATCAACTGTGTGAAAAAATGGAGAGAAGGGATTTCAGCCCTGAGTTTTGCAGAAATTTGGTGCTGTCATGAAAAGGTACATTCTAGTCTGAGGTTCTTCATTTGTAAAAGTCAACACACACCACTGCATCAACTGCATCACCAACTGTTCGGATTTGTCTGTCTGGAACAAAGTGGTGAACCAACCAACAAACCAATCAACTCTTACACTGCCGGCCTGGCCAACCTCTGGCCAATCAAATGAATCTCTTCGACATTTGTCATCATGCTCATTCTAGTAATAGCAATACAACAGGTACATTGTTCCCACCACAGCGTGTAAACATGAAAAAGCTCTAAATTCCTGCTCCACAGCAGAGTGCAGAGTACAGTACTCACCTCCTGTCTGTTTTCTTTAGGGGCTGATGTTTCTTTAACTGTTGAAGCTTTCATTTTCTGTCCATTAAAAGATCTGTTACTCACACTGGGGAGAAACACATCTGCCCTCAGGCTGCATATTCATGGCAAACTAGGTCAAGACAGTGGTCTGTGAGAGCGTGTGCTTTAGAGGTTCAAGAGACAAACACTGTTGCGTGTGATGACCACTGTAGGACCCAAATTCAGGCTGTAAGCAGGTTATACATGTGTTAGACAAGGTAAATGGGCAGAAGCGTTCTTGGAGGAACACGGACAGCCTTAATGTTACCACATGCTTGACAATTCACATAGAAGTCTGATTAATAATGCACTTAGACCGATCCTTCTGTTGTATCTCCTGGCTGCACTGTGCGCCCAGAACACACGTAGCACATCTGGATGCTGTCCAATCAAACATGTATTTTTGCCCCCTGCTTCCACAGCACTCAGACTATCTTTCTTCATCCCAAGGCCTCCTGTCATCTGTTCTGAGCAGCAGACAAGCTGTGTGTGTGTGTGTGTGTGTGTGTGTGTGTGTGTGTGTGTGTGTGTGTG